GCTTATGCTGAAGTTCCTACCAGGGAACACCAGGCCCGCTTCTGCACTGGCAAAGCTCTTGTGTCCACACCTTGTCCAAACTGAGTAGTCCACGTAACTCAGGTTGTAGCTGAAACATGACACTAGTCGATGGAGCCCCAGCCTGCAGCTCTCGGTAAGGTGTTGTGACCCAGCAGTCATTTATAGCAATGATTGTAAGGACACGCTAATGAATGTTTCATTCACTAATACAAAATTGTGAAAATCATGACTAATTTGGAGTGATAAAACTGCTCAGAAGTTCACTACTGAGTATGTTCAGATGTTGGGCTCCAAGTGAGAGAGTCCTCTGACTGTTTTTGCAACAACTAAAATCAGTTGACTCTGACTTTGTGTTAGAAGCCATTACTAAAGTATTCCAATGGCTAAATGTGAACAGCATGGGCTGGAAGCGTACCCTGAACAAGAGGTGCCAGACAGCAGCTGCAAGGACCATGGCACAGACATTGCTAACCTGCTCTCAAACAGTTCTAGTTCATCAGAAAATGGTTGTAGGGCCTTGGAGAAGGGCTGCCTATCTTCCCTGTGAGGGAGGGACTTTGTTTTTCTCCTTTGAACTTAACGAAAGAAGTGAGGACTGCCTTTCGAGTTCCATCCTTGAGTCCATCCATGAGTGTCCATGTGTCTGTCCTGCTTGGTACTTTTTGGTAATATGGGTTTTTAAGGGCTAACAACACCCCCTCAGCCCTATGCTTTCAAGGAATTGAGGGGTTTGTATGATGGCCATCGGAGTTTAGGTTAACCAGGAGCTGATGGCAGCCAGCAGAACTCTTGACCATGCAAGCTGAGGGAAAGTTTATTGTGGCTGCTGTTTCAGGGTCCGGCCCAGCATGGTTGGGAAGTTGGCAGCAGGACCATGAAGCAGCTGGTCACTTTCAGGCCCCAGTCTGAAACAGGAGTCAGTGCTGCTGCCCGGCCCTTTCCTCTTAATACCGTCCAGCACCCCAGACCTTGAAGCGATGCTGCTGGCACTCAGAGGGTGCAGTCTCAATTAGCCTAATGTAGAAAGTCCCTCACGCACGTCAGAGATCTAGAGCCTGCCACGTTGACAACCACACCAACTGTTTACCCCCCAGTTCTGTCTAGAGATGAAAACTGATGGAGCAGTGTTTTAGCCATGGTGCTATAGAAAGAAGAGGCAGTCCTTGTCCAGTAGCAGCTGTTTCCCCTTCTAACTGCAGGGCTGAGGTTATAAGGCTACCAAGTAAAGATATAATTTTAAAGTTCATATATTTATTGTTTGCTGTGCCGGGCATGGAACCTGGAGCCTTGAGTATGCTGGTACAAAACTGTTTTTGAAGAGGTAAGAAAGTACTTGTCAACCATTCAGAACTTGCAGTTAGACACCTACACATTTACAATGTTGCATAAGTTACTTGGATACTTTAAGAATCCTGATTTGTCTATAGAAGTGTTAGTCTGTGTTAACTGGTGATTCTGGACATGCAACGGCAGATTCAAGCCTTTCAGAGGCTGGGAATATGGCTTAGTGAGTACAGTGATTGCCACACAGGTGTGAGGACCAGAATTCTAATCCCTGACGCCCGAGTATATATAAATGCCAGGTGAGTATGGTGGCTTACTTTCAACCCCAGCATCTGGGAGGTGGATATGGATCCCTGGAACAGGCTGGCTAGCTATAATACCCAGATCTGGTTTCCACAGAGATACCCTGCTTCAATATGGAAGGTAGAGATGAAGGAAGCTCATGTCAACCTCAGGCAACCACGTGCGTGTACACACATTCAGGCATGCATACCCTTTGTAATGGACACCACACTTGTATATGGAAAAAAAAACTTGAAAAATTGATCATCTGTAAAATGGGTGCACGTCCCGCCTTATACGGCTCCTAAGAGTAGATTACATGAGGTCATTGATATGGCCCTCTTCCTAGGTTGCCTAGCACCGAGGTCTGAATGTGAGTCTCTGCCCTTAGTCTTTCATTCTGCTGTTTCCTGATGCGGTTTTAAAGACATGCACTTAAAACATGGAGTCATTGTAGAGGGAAGGAGGGATGTTCTACATTCATTTCAACTATGAAAAAACATGCCTTCCTAAGAAATGCATGAATTTTAAAAGGGCTCTGAGCCTCAACACACGGGTTAAGTAACAATATGTTTGACAATTTTTTTTGCGCATGATTCATTAATACATTCTGCAGCTAAGCTGAAGCTAAACTCCCACATAATAAAATTATGATTGCCTTAGAAGTTAGTGTGATTATTTAAAACCTATTCACATGTTTTCATTTGTGCACGAAAGGACAGTTTAAAACCCATGCAAGACCTAGACAGACCTCACCCCTGGGAATACTTGCAGACACATTTTTTCCAGGCATTTCTGCTGTTGGGTGACTGTTCTGAAAATATGGGTGTATGCATGCTAAGTCTTCGAGTAGTCACCAGTAGTCACACACCAGATGCCAGCCTAGTGCCATTGGCCTCCCACCAGCAGCCAAGGACATTTGTAGAAGAGCGTTTCAAATCTGGAGAGCCATGCCCATAGCCAAGTCCTCTGCTTGCATGCTGAGGGGCTGTGGGCATGGCCTTGCAACCGTCGCCGCTTCTCCTAACACCCTTCTTCAGTGGCAACTGGAAGTTGTTTGTAAATGCTAATGTTTATGAAACCCACGTAAGAATTAAACAGTAACAGATGAAGACCGAGAAGGGACCTCTGGTCTTTAGCATGTCCCCTGAGCCCCAGAGACAGGCTTCCTACGATGGAAGACCTCACCACCTGTCCATAAGAACACATTCTTAGCTTCCCAAGAAGCTGATGACTGCTCCTTTCTGCGGTCAGCTTTGCTCGCATGCAGCCCAGAGTCGACCCTCTCCTGAGTGACGGAAGTGCTAGGTCAGTCTTCTGGTTGCTTTTGAGTAAGCAGAGGATAAACAGGTTCACCTGCACTCTCCTTCCATGTGGCTTGCTCTTTACTTCATCGTACTAAAATGTTTTTGCTTCAGTGTTTCCACAGGTACTAGACCAGGGCGCAGAGCTTAAAAGTTACCCGTCTTTGAAAGCACCATGCACATAGTTCAGGAGCGATCATGCAAAGGGCAGGGAAGAAAGCACCTCTGTATGGGCAGTTTTGCTTGGCAAGGAGTCTAGCCCCTTTGAGCAACTCTATAGAAAAACAAAAACACTCTCTGGAGCATTGCATGGGCTTTTGAAGAGTCCAGAAAGCCATGTAGTGGGGAGACCAGAAGATTCACAGTGAGGCTGTCCAGGAGCTGGGTGAGGCAAAGGAAGAGAATGAGTAGACTGAGTGAATCTTCCTAGCTGGGCAGCTGGAGGAAGGAAGAAAGGAGGTGATGTTGCTGGTGTTGAGATACTTTACTTATCAACTCTTACATTCCTGAACTGCACATAATATACTCGCACTATTAGACAAATGTTAGAAGATCAGGAAGTTCACCAGAAACCAAAAGTCTTGCAGTGCACTGTAGAAGGCGTCTGGGCTCTTAAGTCTAAATGAAGAAGAAGACGGACATACTGCAGTGGAAATAGTTCAAATGATGAATTGCTGAAGTCGTGCTCTGTCATTTTAGTAACTAAGGGTAGATAACCTAGGCTGAATAATGATGAGGATATCAAAAGGCAGTGTGTAGTCATTCTGGGGACCTCATAATATACTCAGGATCTTGGAGAAATTTTGTTTGCATGACATGATTAAAAAACATTAAAGGAGCCAGGTGGTGGCGGCGCACACCTTTAATCCCAACAACCAGGAGGCAGAGGCAGGTGGATCTCTGTGAGTTTGAGGCCAACCTGGTCTACAGAGTGAGTTTCAGGACAACCTGGGCTGTTACAAAGAGAAACCCTTTCTCGAAAAGCCAAAAGGGAGGGGGGCAGTATTGTTGAGGGGCATGGTCTTGTTCAGCCTGGTCATGCCATAAAATTCAGGAGCAGGTGAATCAAGCTTGATCCTGAAGCCACCACCCAGGAAGGAACCTCAGAGATTAAAGAAATTGCTTCAGTCACCAGATGAAAGTTGTTTTAACTGACGGGCCAACAGAAGTCCATTAGCCTAGCTGAGTTCTAGTTAGAACCAGTTCAATAAAATCTTATTCACAGCACATGGATATTAACAGCAAAACTGCATCCAGAGAAATACAAGAAAAAGAGAAATGAAAGGTCACATGATGGGAGAGGAAAAAAAAAAGAAAACCAATGAATTTACAAAGTGAATGAGTGACAGACAGCAAGCCAAAATTACAACAGGGAGTTACGAATATCGTCAGCCTGAAAACATCCATGGGTTCTCTTTTAAGTGCACACAATTGAAAGGACAAGTTTATAACGACATGAGATGCATAGATTATGTACTAAACTACAGTTGTTACTCAATAGAAACAGATTTTTCAGGAAAAAAAGGTTTGAAGGAAATACATGAAATTATTTCATATTGCAAAGTGCACAAGAGAGATAGGTAACTAAGAATACTAATAGAATAGGAATGAGAAAAGTCTAGGAATTAGGGAGAACAGATTTGCAGTGAAGAACACTAGCAAAAGGGGATAAAGAGAAAGGACAGGTGAAGAAACACTTGGTCAGTTTTCAGTCCTGAAGAAATGATGACTAGGACAGACCTTTAAAGCCAAGGCAAGAAACTTCCTGAGAGATTTAAAGTTAGTCTGATATATACATATAGAAGGAAGGTCCCTGGAAATGCCCAGAAAAAAAGAAGATAGGGATTGTGTTGGTTTGGTTTGTTTTTTTTGTTGGTGGTGGTGTTTGTTTTTTGGTTTGAGGTTTTTTTTTTTTTTTTGGTTTTTTTTTTTTTGCCAATTTGATAAAGGCCAGGTGTCATGATTTTAAAAAGTGGCTTGAGAGAGAAAGATGCCATATGACATTCAAGCAGAAGGTTTTTTTTTTTAAGGGAAAAAGATCTTAAAAAGGGGGAAGGGGAATGGGGAGACTGGCCTCCAGGACCAGGCGCAGCAGGAGAGAAGAAAGAGAGGCAGAGAGACAGAGACACAGAGAGAGGAACAGAACAAGAGAGGGAGAGAAAGGGGGAAATGCAAGGCGAGCAGGGCCCTTGTAGTAGAGATCACAGTGAATGTGCACAGGTGGTGCTCTCAGTGGCTGCAGCTGAGGGCGTATCCCGTCAGAACCCCGAAGGCAGGCCGGTACAGACGCCTGAAAGCTAACACGAGGGACGTTGGGGAAGAGGGAACCTCAACTGAGAATATTACTCACTCACCCTGATTGGAGGGGGAGGACCCAGCTCCCTGTGGGAGGTGCCACTCCTGGGCAGGTGGTCCTGAGTAATATTTGAAAGAGAGCTGAGGACGCCACGTGGGGAGCGAGCCAGTAGACAGTGTTCCCTTCACGGCCTTTGCTTTGGGCACTGTCTTCAGAGTGCCGCTAGAGTTTCTGCACTGACTCGTCACTCAGCGTGGTGAGAAATGTAAGAAAATGAACCCTCCCCGCAAGTTGCTTTCGGACGACGCAGCGTTTCACCACGGCCACAGAGAGCAAACTGGGGCAATGATCTTCTCAGTCACTTGTCACCAGGGTCAGAGGATGGAGGGGCGTCTGAACCCGGTGAGACTGTATCCTCCATGTGCGCCAGATGCCAAGCTGCGTGCAGTTCTTCAGCAAGGATTTGGAAGGCAGATGTGGGAATCAGGTAGTGGCATTTCATGCCCTCTATCCTACCCCTAAGTGCATCTGTGGGAACAGGCTCTCCTCACTAGACTGTGGGCTTCTGTTCCCACCGGTTCCTTGCTGCAATGGAAATGCTGAGATCTTAGGAACCACAGATCACAGAGCCTAGGTCCCTGGGCTCATGCATATCTACCAGGACAGCTGCCTGCCTGCCTGCCTGGAACACCGATACAGAGATGTTCACGCCGCCGGTATGTTTTTGTGTGTGTGTGTGTGTGTCTGTAGTATATGTGCATATTCAGGTAGGTGTGTGCACATGTGCACCTGTCTGTAGAGACCAGAAATCAGTATGACATTAAATTGCCTTCCACCTGACTTTATGAGACAGGGTCTCTCCCTGGACCTGGACTACCTCACTGATTGAGACCCTAGGGATGCTCCTGTGTCCAACCCCCCAGCATTGTAATTACAGACTTGCGCAGCCACACCTGGCTTCTTAACTGGGCGTTAGGCATCCAAACACAGGTGCTCAGACTTTCTAAGCCCTGAGACTGAACTATCTCGCTAGACCGTAAGTTACTGTGTCTTTGGTGTAATGGCTAGTAGTATCCCGGAAACTTGCACAGCGTTCTTGTTTTATTCTGTTACTGTAACAGTATCATGAGCAAATGCAACTTCAGGGAGGAAAGAATCCCTCATTTCAGCTTACTGGTCATAGCCCATCACTGAAAGACGTCAGGACAGGAACTTAAGCGGGCTCTGGAAACAGGAACCAAGGGGAAATGCTGTCTTCAGACTCTCACACAGTCTCATGTTTCGCTGACTTCCTTATACAGTCCAGGACCACCTGCCCAAGGAACAGTGTCTCCCACAGTGGGCTAGTCCCTCCATAGTCGATTGCCAACCAAGACAACCTCAACAGGCATACCTATGGGCTAATTTGGTATTCTCAGATGACTGTAGGCCATGCCAAGTGGACAGTTAAAGCTAACTAGGGTTTGCTGAAGAGTGGGCAGATACTTGAGAGGTGCATTCCTTTATTATGGCTGTTGTCAGAAACGATGGTAGTTGTTCACTTTTTTATCGTTCGCTCTAGAGATGAGAAGGGCTGGGACCCTTTGGGGCCTGTGAGGAGGACACGAGGCTTGGCATTTTCTTGCGTTGCTGTCTCTGACTCTGACACTCTTGCTTCCGTTTTACTAAGACCCTGGTTATGACTTTGAGTCCATTGGATGCTGTTAAATAATATCTCAACTCAAAGGACTTAAAGTAACCCATCCGCAAAGACCGCCTGCTCCTGTAAGGCAGCGTTCGGGAGGCCCTGGGTTAGGGTGTTGGCATTTCTGAGTGGTGACATTATTCTGTCTCCCATGGTGTAACAAAGAGAGGAAAACAGGGAGGAGGTTTAAAAACAAAAACAAAAACAAACCATAGCATTTGCAAATTGCATGTGTACACAAAGGCAATTTTAAAAGAGAAACTTTAAATAAAAACATAGGAGTTGAAGGAAAAATGGAAACACCTATGTCCGAGGAAGACAGTAAGCCAGTGTATCTCCTCATAGCACTCAGGAAGCAGTGTTAACAGGGACACAATCCGCAACTCTGTTTGCTTTCTTATAGTTCAAATCTTAGTTCACAGTTCCTTTGATAGCTTATCAGAGAAAACGTGTCATCCTCAGAGAGAGGGGGGTGGAGGGAGAGAGAGAGAGAGGAGAGAGAGAGAGAGAGAGAGAGAGAGAGAGAGAGAGAGAGAGAGAGAGAGAGAGAGAGAGAGAGAGAGAGAGAGAGAGAGAGAGAGAGAGAGAGAGAGAGAGAGAGAGAGAGAGAGAGAGAGAGAAGGAAGGGTTAGATGCATGGATGGGGATCTATTTCCCTGCAAGATCTCTATAGTACCACCTCCACGGGGCAGAGCCTGTGCCTCACCCTTCCCCTGCTGGAGCTTTAGACTCTGTCTCCCTTTCTGAATTAATTTCCAGGGTCTGTCTGACCTCTAGGCATGACTCCTAGAGGAAGGAGCTTTGCCCAAACCAGATGTCCTTTAGATATGATACCAAGAAAGCCCAGCACCTCACACAATTCTGAGAGTCCTTGGAGAAGAAGATAGTACCATCAGCCTTGGGGAATCTATGTTTATACTCTTTTCTTGATATTCACACTTTGGGGAACCAGGAACAAGATTAGAGTGGAATTTTTTTAATTCACAAACAGTTTTAAGAATGACATATTTACTGAGTGGTGGTGGCGGCGAATGCTTTTAATCCCAGCACTTGGGAGACAGAGGCAGGGGGATCTATGTGAGTTCAAAGCCATCCTGGTCTAAAGAGCCAATGCCAGGACAGTCAGAGCTACACAGAGAAACACTGTCTCAAAAAACAAAACAAAACAAAAAAACAAAACCACAACCAAAGAATGGCGCACTTTCTTCTCACGCTTGAGGAGAAGGTGTTCTCACGGAGACTCTGCTGAGTAGATCCTAGCATGTGAGTGCCCCTGCAAGATACCCTAGAGTCCTGGGCTCCCAGCCGCCTCCAGGACATTCTTCCCATGGCGCTCAGAATTCCCATGGTGCTCCAGCCATCAACAGTGCTAATGCTCAGTCGTCTCCCGGGAAGTTGCCCCAGGTGTTGCTCAGAGGCAAGCAGCTGTAGGAATGTGCAATTGGGCAAACAAATGCCCAGTCTAGGTGGGTTCAAAGACTGCAATGGTCAGCCCGGTGGAATCGACAGCTGTCAAGTTTCTTTAAACTTGTCTCCATCTGATCCATGCAGCTCCTGTTGATGGGCTCAGCAAGAGTTTAGGTCACAATTCCTGGGGGAGCCTCGGAAGCAGCCTGCCCTGCTGGGTGTGTGCAGAAGGGAGCAGAGCTAGGGCGGGGTCTGCTGCTGTGAGAAGCTGGACGCTCAGCCAGCCCAATTCTCATGCTCTGTGTGCGAGAAGCAGGAGACTGAGCGAGCGTGGTGCCGCCCACGTCCATGCCCCACCTTCCGAGCGCTGGCCTGCTGCACGGGGCAGGCATCTTCATTCACACACTCATTTTTTTTTATTCCTAATTATAATCAGATTTTCTTTATGGTTTGTTGAAAACTGTCTCTCGATTTCCTTACAGCAGCCTCAGATCTTTGATGAACCTGAGTATCTGAGTCTCTTTCGAGCTTGTCTCATCCTTAAGTGCGTGAGTGCACACATGAGGAATACAACACACACCCACAGTCCTGAGTGTGTGTGCACACATGAGGAATAAAATACAATACACACCCACAGTCCTGAGTGTGTGTGTGTGTATATATACCCATGAGGATTACAATACAATACACACCCACAGTCCTGAGTGTGTGTGCACTCGTGAGGATTACAATACAATACACACCCACAGTCCTGAGTGTGTGTGTGTGTGTGCACTCGTGAGGATTACAATACAATACACACCCACAGTCCTGAGTGTGTGCTCACACATGAGGAATAAAATACACGTCCACAGTCCTAAGTGTGTGCACTCATGAGGAATGTAACATACATCCACTTAAACCATTTTCCTTCCGTTACAAATACCATGGTAGTCATATCTAATTAATGAAAATATCCCCAACTTTGAAGTAATTTTTGTTGCAAGAATATCTCCACAGCAAAGTAACCCCTGGATTGATAAAACCGATAGACTTCAGACCTGGCAGAATAGTCTGCTGTTGGGAAATAGGTGGAAAAGGGATGGCTCAAAGGAATGTTTTTAGAAATAGAAAGCTTCCAGTCACAGAGAGATGGGGTTGAGGTGAGCCATGGGGGTGTGGGTGAATCAGGGGTTTCACAGAGAAGAGGTGGTCGGTGACCGTGGACGTGACGTTTTACACTGCGGAAAGTGGGCTGCTGAACAAGAAACGTGCCCTGCCCCTGCTTAAGATGGGCTTTGAAGAACATGCAGGATGTACGTCCCCACAGTTTGCTTCTTTTATTTGTATAGTCCTAGTAGAGGAGATCATGTAAGCCAGGGATCCCAGTCACTCGGCGGCTGAGGCAGGGGGATGGCAAACCCAAGGCCAGCCTGACCTGAAGAGTGAGTTTGAGAGCAGCCTTGGAAGCAGCGAGGCCTGTTTCAAAATTCAGCTAAAGGGGAAGGGAGATGGTGGTAGCTAGGGATTCAGACTGGTGGTAGGGGCTTGCCTAGCATGCCCAAGGTATTAGGGTTAGTCCCTAGAAGCACGCATGCCACACACGTACGAGTCCATGTATTGCTAAAAAGACTGACCTTTTTTTCCAAATTTTTTAAACAAAAATTTATGTAATTTTTTAATCTTTTAAATGTGTATTGTGTGTGTACCTATGTGTGGGTTTGTGTACATAAAGGTAGGTACCCTAGGAGTCCAGAGGGGGGCACTAGATCCCCTGGCCTCGGAGTTGAGGGTAGATGTGAGCTGCCTCACATGGGTGTTGGGCACCGAACTCGGGTGGTCTACAGGAGCAGTGCAGCGCCCCTCCCCTGCCCCCATACCATGTCCTCTTGATGAGCCTTATTAAAAATTGGGAAGGAGTAAAGTTAAGTACTACTTTATTTGTAAAATGAGTAAAAGGCTGAGAGGAGCCTTTAAAAAAAAAAAGAAATTACTAAACCAAGTATCACTTAGGACTTAAGCTATACTGGAACATATGCATCCCCCGCATTTAAATGTAAGAAATTGTTACAGAACAATTTTTTAAAAAAAATTAATAGATTCAGCATGCTGAGGAGCTAAACTTTCAGCCACAAAGAGAAGGAGAGGAATTTTGCTTTTCCTGAAAAAATACTTCTTAATTTATACACATAACATACAGGCAGAGGATGAAAAGGAAACTATTAGTAGCCAAATTTCTTGTGCTGTTGCCAAGCATTCAGTGTGCACCTAGTTGTAGAGGGAGATGTGTTTTCGTTGTCCTAGTTGCCAACTGTGGGGTCGGATGGTTTATACCTTACATCTGTCTGTCCATCACTAGAAGGACAGAGGGACACATGTACACTCCATGCAACAGAAGAAACGAGAGTCACACCAATGATTTAGTTGTTAAGAACGGGAAGATGAGGGAGGAGCCCTTGGAATTCTCAGCGGGATGGAGGGTTTGCCTGGGTGGGGGTTCTTGGGTTCCTGCCTCTGCCAATAGGCTGCCATTGTTTCCCTAACTTCAGCATTTGTCCAGTTTTGAAAATCCTTCTGTCTTAGAATGCGGGATTTCCATAACACGAACGAGTAGTTATGATGCATAAGACTTGGTCTCAGAATACAGAGAAAGCCTTTAAATGGAGTTTGTGGGGAGCAGATGAAGTCCTGTACATACATTACTGACATGCATGTGGACATGTAAAGATCCCAATGCTTCAGACTCATGAGAACGACCTGGCCTTCTCCGTGCCAGGCTCAAGGGGATGACAGTGAGATCTTCTGGTTTGGTGTGGATGTTGACTGTGTGCAGAAGGTGTGAACTACATATTTTCCCCTCTAGGATGACTGTGGCCTGAGACTGCTCCCCCACTGAGACCTCCTACTAAGATTAGCACACCTACCTCTTCGTCTGTCTGTCTGTCTGTCTGTCTATCTGTAATAAACCGGGCTTAATTTCCAGGCTGTTGGTGCATCTCCATTGGATTGCTAGGCCCATCCAGTCCCAACTCTTCTGCATATGAACCTGTCATTTCTTCATTCCCGTTAGGTCACCCCAGTTCGGTCAATCTGGAAGCCATACAGATCTCAAATACACTGTATGAAACACCACTGTACCATCGTCTTTGTCCTCATTTTCCTTGGAACTAGAGGAGAACCTCATCCTGAGCCCATGACTTCTTCAGAGAAGCAGTGACTATTTGAAAAGGGAGCAGTTACTTTCTATAAGGAGGGGCTTAAAGCGTTGGCATTCTACCGTAAGATCAAGAGTCCTTTGACAGGGCATGGCACCCCAGCAACTCCCTGCTCTGTAGAATGGTCGCCCTTAATACAGGAGGACAGCTTGGCACAGCCTTACTGCTGTCTCCTGCCTGGTGCACTGGAAATGGCTTCCTGACAAGGAAGATGTCTGTTTCTGAGGCTCAGCCTTGTCCGCTTCCCAGAGTCTCCACCCCTTCTTTATTCAAAGAAACACACACTTTATAAAAGGAAAGGGTTGTAATATCTCTCGTTCAGGCAAGTGTCTTTTACTGTAACCGGTACCTACCAATTGAATTGGTTTATGTTTTTTAAAAAATTCTGCGTAAGATAGTGTATGTGATTAGTAGTTTTCTCCTCCTTGTGATCAAATACTTGGCAAACCATGTGGGGAGGTGGGTTTGCCACGGGGGATGCAGTCGTGTATAGCGGGGAAGGCTTCCTCCCAGCTGTGGTCCAGAGGACAGGCGGATTGGTGTCTTCCTATAACAGGTCTGTGCTTCATTCTGGGAAGGGCAGGCTGCTCACTCACAATAGGCTTTCTTGTTGGTACCATTCTTCCTATCATATCATACGTTTGGTTTTTGTTGTGGGTGAGAGCCAACAGAGACCACAGAGACTGAGGAATCCATCACCTTTGTAGCCCTTTCTAGTTTGCAAGCCATCACTCTGTTGTTTCTCCTGCTTGATCCTCGTTCTAATGGCTCTGATCGAACGCTCTGACCAAAAGTCACTTGAGTGTTTCCATTCCTTTGCCAATGATGTGATGAAACACTATGACCAAAGACAGTTGTTTGGCTTGAATTATGGTTTCAGAGAACTAGAATTCATGATGGTGGAGCGAAGGTACATCTGAGAGCTCACATCTTGTCCATGACTACAAGGCAAGGAGAGCTAGCCAGCAATCCCGTTAAATCTTTAACATTTCCAATCCTGCCCCCAGTGACACACCTCCCCCAACAAGGCCCACCTGCTAATTCTTCCCAAACAGTTCCACTATCTGGGGACCAAGGACTCAAACGTATCATTGCATGAAGGGCTATTCTCATTCCAACCCCTGTAAGGAATGAAGGGTTTGTTTGGTCTACATTTCCAGCTCACAAAGTCAGGGCAGAAGATGAAGCAGAAACCATGGAGGAGGAAGGCTGCTTCCTGGCTTGTCGTCTGCTGACCCTGCTGTCTTATAGACCCCAGGTCCACTTGCCTAGAGAAGACACCTCCCACTGTCCACTGAGCCCTCCTGCATCAACCATCAATTAAGACAGCCTCTCACAGACATGGCCACCGGCCCATCTGATCTTGGCAATTCCTCAGTTGGTTTTCTCAGATGACTCTGGGCTGTGTCAAGTTGAAAGCTGAAGTAAACCAGGGCAACCTCTCAAATAACACGGAAATGAGGAGAGTGTATTTTTTCCTAATCTCATAGGCAGAAACCAAAGTTCAGAGGTAGAATAGCCCGGAAACCTCACGCTAGACAGTGTGCCCTGGACTCTCCGGCACCCTGGACTCTCTGGAGAGGTGAAAAGAGGCAGGATGCTGAAATTGTTTTCAGAAACGGTTCTAGCCATGTGGGAGATGGATATTGCACAGATAAGAATGAAGCATGTTGGGACATTGCTGTCTGATGGAGACCAATGGCTATCTGGCTTTCATTAAATTATATTCTCACTGGCAGCGTTTTGGAATAGTGTATCTGCCTCTTGTGATCTGGCCCAGAAAGGCCCATGTGTTTGCTGTAGTTAGAGGGTGGGTGATGAATCTCACTCTAAGGATACTGAACCTAAGGACACTGAAATCTTGTAAAAAATCTCCCAATGGTTCCGGCCCTCTGCACCCTGATGGAGAGGTTGCCGGGATCTGAAGAATCTGTGTCTCTTTATACCGGTACCCTGCGCCCTGCGCGAGGTGCAGTTTCTCACTGTACCAGCTTCCTGCAGGGCCCAGCCTCTGCTCCCCTCAGAGCTTCCTTAGCAGCAAGTTTGGTTTCACCTGGCCCATTCTGTAGCCCACAGCCCCCTCAATCTTTAGCCTTGGCCTCCTCGCCTTCCGCCTGGCTCGGTAAGCCTGGCACTGACCTTGTGATTAACACAGTGTCCCTGGATAAGAGCGTCGTCTGGTTCCCAGGCTGTAAAGGAACGGAGGGTGAGGGGTTCCTGCTGGAACAAAGGCTCGAAGTTGGCCTAGTCACTGTACACCAGGGAGAGTGGGACCAAGTCATATGAAACAAGTTTTCCAATCAACAAGGGGCACAGGAGTGACCAGTGGCACCAAGCTTGTAGCTGGTAGGGGTCTGGCCAGTGAATCCAATGATAATTATCAACTCAAGAGTCATAGACCGTTTAAGATCCGCTAATCAAGTCTGCAGACCAAGATGTTGGGAGCTCTTCCTAGTCTCCAATAGCACGATGCACCCCATTGGAGGATGGGCCTCAAGGCAAAGACAGTTGAGCCTCTCTTAGCCTCCTTCGCTGGCCTGACTGATGTTTCCTACCAACATTCCGTCGGCACCCAAGGATTCAGACTCATGAGGGGCTTCACTGGCTGCCAGGGTGAGCATCGCCTGAGACCTGTAAGATGTGTCCTTGGTGATGGGACCACTGTTAGCACCAGCTTAGCAAGTAAAGAGAAGGAGATCCAACATCCACGTGCCTCCCTCGGGATGTTCCTATTATCCACGAGCCTCTGAAAATATGGCTTGCTCAAGAAGGCATTAGAGCTGAATTATCATTTATGTTTGTCATAGGGGTTTGAAAGTGTGTAATGAGATTCCAGAGTTAATGTTTTGTGCAGAGCACTTAGGAGAGAGCCAGGATGGAATTGGCTCCAGATTCTGATGGGGCGTTTTAATTAAAGATAGTTTCTAATCAAGGGTGGAGCAGAGGCTGCTTAGAAAATGTCAGTTCATTGTCCAATCCACTGGTGCAGAGATGGGCAGGCAGCTCTGCGGAGCTCCTGCTGCCAAAGAGGGAGAGCGGTGGCGAGGAGCGAGTTCTGGGAACAGGAGATGGGGGTGCTCAGCTGGGGGCTGGGGAGCCCTGTGCCATCTTGGGCCACGTGTCCGCAGGCTGCGCTTGCTCCTGGCGTGTGTCTATGCCCCTGGCTCTGTATGCGTCACGCCAATGGCAGCGGCTCTGCCCACAAGTCCCCATGAATGCTGGCTGCTTGGGCCTAGTCAGAGCCCCCTGTCGGTCCCTAGCTAGTGTGCGCAGCCCTGTGGTTCCCACAGTCAACGGGAAGGCGCTGTCTGTAGGAGGAAGTCTGCATGCCGCCATTAACCATGTGACTTACTAAGTCTATGCCGCCATTAAACATGTGACTTACTAGAGGTGCATACAGATGAGGTAATAAGAGGGCGGTTTACCACACCACTAACCACACCCACTTTAGGCAGGACTAAAGACATATACGTACGTAGGCGGAACTACGTACGGGGGGAAAGGCATAAAAGACAGCACACAGGAAGTCTCGGTCTCTTTTTCCTGGAGTTCGGCTTCCGGTCCGATAGCTGAAAACTGCTTGGCTCCTCTGGGTTTGGTATCTTGTGAGTAATTTCTACATTAAATACTTAGCGTTACTTTCAGTAATTGTGTGTCGCGTATCGTTACAGCGTCCATTGAAGCCTACAATTTGGTGTCAGAAGTCCAGCCGTATACGTCTTTAGTCCTGCCTAAAGTGGGTGTGGTTAGCGGTGTGGTAAACCGCCCTTTTATTACCTCATCTGTATGCGCCTCTAGTAAGTCACATGTTTAATGGCGGCATGCAGACTTCCTCCTACAGCTGTCTTAACATATTTGAAGGGCACGTACTCAAGCACCTTGAATGAAGTCTGATGAGGAAGGAGCCTCTGCCCGGCCGCTCTCACGAGCAGTCAGTCATACAGAGAATATGGAATTACAGTTCTGTCTGCTGAGACTTAACCCCCGAAGTGCCCGGCACCACGGTAGCCTTCTGAGGCTCAAGAGAGCCTATGCTACTTGTCACAGTTCTCTTCCATCGCTGCAGTCGGGCCTAGCCCAGCTTGTACCCCAGATAGAGATGCATTTTAGGCTGGGAAGAGTCTGGACAGGCAGGCGCTCAGGCGTGGTCTGCGGCGACCTTCCAGGCCGTTGAGGTTTGTGGGCCATATTCTGGTAGTTCCGTGGCCGTGTCAGCATTTCAGCGGGAGCCAGAACACGGCTCACGCTCTTTCCTCTGGGCTCCCCAGCAGTTCTTGCTTCTTGCAGGGTCTTGGCCCAACCACAGGGTGGCCTGGGTTCTCAGCACTCCCTGCAGGGTTACTTAGAGCAAACACATCAAGGAGGAATCGAGTTGGTGTTTGAAGAGTGACCTGCCTCTGGGAAGAATTGATGCATAAATGCCAGGCGAGGCAGCAGTAAGCAACTGACACCCGGGAGCTTGCTCTCATTTCATTAGTGCTGTGGCTCTGGGGCCGGGTTAAAGCCTAGGGAGCTAACTGAGTAAAACAGAGAAGCAGGCATTCGTTTCTGTATTTGCAGCCCTAGCTGGGTCTAGAAGGTGTTGCTAAAACATGTGTTTGCAGAAAACGGATGGTAAGGCTTCCCATGCTTATTTAGAAGACATAGCATCCTGTTTGTTTATTTTTAAAGTTTTTTTTTGTTTTTTTGAGACAGGGTTTCTCTATATTGCTTTGGAGGCTGTCCTGGAACTCGCTCTAGTAGATCAGGCTGGCCTCGAACTCACAGAGATCTGTCTGCCTCTGCTTCCCGAGTGCTGGGATTAAAGGCTTGCGCCACCAATGCCCAGCTATTTTTAAAGTTTTTGCACTATGTCTCTGCACTACATGTGTACGGTGCTCACAGAAGCCGCAAGAGGGTGCTGGATTTATTGGAAGTGGAGTTACAGACTACATGGGTTGCTGGTAATTGAACCCAAGGTCTATTTATTGAGAGTCAGCCAATGCTCTTAATTGTTAGGCTGTTTCTCTAACCCCCAGGTATGGTTCTAGATAATCTGTGTGATTGACCAAGATTGTCTCTCAGATCAAAATATATTCTGTTTAGCTTTAAAACACGTTTTTTGGTCTAGCAGAGAATAAGGAAATCACAGGGTTCAATTTGTCTGCTGTCAGCCCTGCCCTAGAGTCTCCTGTTGGTCGGGACCAGGGTCATTTTACAGCAGGAACAGCTTTGTGGGTTGAAACTGAAAAGGCAGAGATGCTGGCTTTGTTCCTGGGTTCCAGTGGCACAGGGCCTGCTGCACGAAGCGGGGGGGGGTGGCACTCCTCCTTTCTCTGCATCCTAGTCCTCCACGCTGTCAGCTGTCAGTGCAAGGCAAGTGGCTTTCCAGCTCCTGATGCTCTGTCCTCTTTGTTCTGTGATGCATGCTTCCTCTTTCCTTAAGATGCAAATTCCCCCGGGGCTGGTTGCATGCGAGCCCTTAACCACTCTGTTCTTCCCATGAGTTCAGGCTCTTCCCCTCTCTGCAACAGGAGCTCAGTCTGCTGAGGGAAGAGAAATGGTGCAGAAACAGGCGCCCTGTGGACCTGAGCCTTGACCCAGGCTCCGTCAACCTTACACACACACACACACACACACACACACACACACACACACACACACACACACACACACACACATGCGGTGGTTTTCACACTCAAATCATACAGTTTTCTCTCTGAAACTTTAATCTTACATTTTAATGTGTTCCTATAAGCCACGTTTCCCCCATCACTTGTATTGTTTTAATATAAAAAGCCAAATAATTTTTCTATTTTCATGCATGATAGTCATTAAGAACATTTAGCTGCATTAGTTAATAACAGTCTGTCATCCAGAAAACTAGTTTGCATTTCATTTGGGGAGAAAATGTTAATAATTAAATATAATCAATAATGGAATCATCATTCCAACAGCTGTCTCAACCTGAGAAAGATGTTGTCAATTTGCACTTAGTGCTAATGTCATTTATTCCATTAACAGCCCTTATTTTAACAAGCTTAATCATCTTTATAGGTTTCTCTTCCATTCTATCTCTTTCCCCTTTTTTATTGCTTTGCTCATATAAATGCTTCCACAATTTAGTGATGATGTGGCAGGAGGCTGAGTGGACGCTTCTAACTTGATCACAGCCTTGTGATTCCTCTCCAGGGACACACGACACACACACACACACACACACACACACATACACACACACACACACACACACACGGTTGGAGGAGGAGCATTTTAGCACATGCTAAAATCCCTTTGGGGAAAAAAAAAACTCTGTGTTCCATATGCTGCTCTAGAGCTTTAGATGCAAACTTATGTAGACAGTAAGACATACATACATACATACATGCATACATACATACATACATACACATATACATACATACATGTGTGTGTGTGTGTGTGTGTGTGATTGGTTGGTATCCATTTTCTGTTGCTGTCACTAAATATATCATGTTGGACACTTTAAAGTTTATCTGACCTGTGCTTCTGGATGCTGAAGGCAAAGACTGGTGTCCCTCTCTGGCATGGGCCTCGTGCTGTATCATAAAAGAGTGAGAAGCTTTAGGGCAATAAAATGTGTGGAGCCAGACATGGGACTGTCTGGACGCATGACTGTTCTCAGCAGAGCAAAGCCCAGTCTCTCACAACCTCATCTGTAAAGAGAAAGCCTTTCCTCCAGTCTGGTTCCAGAGCTGCATCAGTCCCAAATAAACACAC